AAATATGAGCATGATCCCGTCATCTAATCGAGAAATAAATGGCACACTTGTGATAGCTTATTGTCTCAGCTACAACATACTCAAAGCTCAGCGTAAACAAAGATAAAACGACAGAGATATTGCTCGCGACAGACGAGAATGTAGAATCCAGTTTTGAGAAAAAGTCATGTCCCATAGAGAATACACGCAAAATGTGAAAAATTGACATGCCTCCTTTAATCGCGAAAATACGCCATGATGCCCTTGTCAAAATGAAATATCGTGGTGACTGCATTTGTAGACAATATTCTCAGGTAGAACATATCAAAATTTGGAAGAAAATTAATCAATATTTACAAAGATACAATCAATTTTCCAAAAATATTATGACGTCATAATATGCAAATTGAAATTTTGAGTTCGGAGGCCATTATGATGACGTCATGAGTCAATTGAGGGTCAAATGAGACATGGAATCATATCTCCAACTCATGCTTTTTCTAACCATGATATAAAAGTTGGGGTCAATGGACTATCTGAAGAGCTATTATGATTTTTAAAATGGCATGTTTTTGATCAAATTTGCATTATATTGCCCATAGCAGCACGCGCGGATTTTGAACTTTGACGCGCGCTCACGGCCTTATGAAAGGTCAAGGGTGACTGAAAAAAAATGTAAATTGTCATTTACGGTAAGAGGAATCTAAATCATGTAAAAATTTTGAATTTGACCTTTTCCGCGCGCTATGAGCGCGCGCAACGCGCGCGGGGACACTTACGGACGGAAAATTTTGAAATGCTTAAAATGACCTGATTCGTACTCTCCTTTAATAGTTAAGTGATTTTGAGCATTTGTAAATTTTGACGCACGCGTACGTGCGCGTCGTGACCTTTATGTGACCTTTGATGACATGACCTGTTGACCCTTGACCTGAAGTATATGTGATATGAATATGAATGACCTTTGCTTATGCATCACGAAGATATGATGGATAACGTGATTTCACAAAATGGCGCCTGGATGACGTCACGATGACCTGATGACCTTGAAAATGTTCCTGTCACGTATCGTGACAATGACCTATGACTGTGTCAAAATTGAAAGAAATTAACACAACCGATCTTGAGTTAATCGATAAACAAAAAACGGGAAGAAATAAAAATAAAGAAAAATAAATAAATAAATAAATAAATAAAGAAAGAAAATTCTGACGAAAACAATAGGTGGTCTGTTGACAACAGACCACCTAATAAATAAATAAATAAATAAATAAATAAAGAAAGAAAATTCTGACGAAAACAATAGGTGATCTGTCGAAAACGACAGACCACCTAATTACGGTGGTGGGTTGGATGAAATGGACATAATGAACAAATCAGAACTTTGATAATTCATGCTTCTTATCGTTCGTGCGCTTGACTTATAACCTTACAATCGCATGGTAATACCCTTTTCACATCTATTTTTCTTAACCCCGGACTATCCTTAACCCCATACTATCCTTAACCCCATACTATTTTTTTTGCTGTTCACATCTATTTTCTTAACCCCGGACTATGTGCTTAGCCGGGGTTAAGAAATTTCACGCGATTCACACTACGTTCGCCTTAGCCCCGGACTATTCGATAGCTCATGAATATTAATGCTTTTGCTACCGCGCATGCGCCTTTCGACTAAATGATTTTTTCATAATGACCTCTGCCTCGTAAAAGACTAAACGTCAATACAGAGAGCATGCATGCGTAACGTGAACTGCATGCATGCGTAACGTGAACTGCATGCATAGCGCGCGATAAATGCAAATTCACGACCACACGACCACGCTGTCTGTGATTGGCTGTTGCTTAGCCCCGCTTCTCCTTAGCCCGGTTCGGATTCACACTACGCAGCTTAGCACCACAATTGCCCGGCTAACCCCGCAATTGCCCGGCTAACCCTGCTATTTTGCAGGGCCAGATAGTCCCGTACTATTTGTGGGGTTAGCCCACTTTGGCAAAACGTAATGTGAACAGAAAGCCGGCTAAAATTACCCCGGGTAATTGGTGGGGCTAAGGAAGGAATTGGTGGGGCTAAGAGCCCCCTTAGCCCCACCTATTTCCCGGGGTTAAGCAATATTTGGTAGATGTGAAAAGGGTATTAGTTGAGTCCAAAGTTCGACTTGTTGTACATGTGTTATATAGGCAATGACGAGCTTGCGACCTATTTTGATCAAATTACGGTGGATGAACTTTCAAAAGTCAATGGGACATGAGGGTTCCAATGAAAGAGCTAGTGATAACGTACGTCGGGTGGATGTGCTTTTCGTTTAAACAAAAAATGAATTGTTTCGGGGGTAAAAGTCCATAGGCTAAACGTACATGTTAGGCTGCTGGACTCTGCCGATAGGGGGCGTTCTCAAATGAGACTAAACGGAGCTATATGATCCCTTTTTTTTTCTATGTTCATTGATTGATGTAACTCATGAAATGTCTTGTATCAAAGATCTTGTTTTATATTGCTTAATTTGATAATTATTTGTTATGTGAATTTCTTGTTATGTGAAATTATGAGGAAGGAAATAAAATATCATTTAAAAAAAAAAAAAAAATGATGGTTTGTTTCCCGCTTAGGATACCAGATCTTCGCTTCAAGTCTTTATTGAAGTTCGAATGTATACAAAAAACCTTGCAATCACAGAGAAAAATTCAAATGATAAATAAGATCATTCCAGTGTATATCACATCATGCGAAATGACATATTTTCCAATAAATCATATTCTTTTTTAAATACATCACCCAGGTGTTAAATATCAAATACATGTATTTTCTCCTGATTGAGCCTTACAATCGTTTATTGCAAATATGCATACATTTATTACATATATCCAAAACAATAATTTCTGAGAACTAGTCTTCACTGAATAAGATTCCTAAATTAAACATTGAACACAGCTGACATATTTCAACCAAGCTAAAGAAATTTCTTTGACTAACCGTATAAAGAGTCAAGGTCATTAAACACGTTATGTTCTTGAGTCAATTTAACTTTCTTGAAGCAAAAATAGCACAATTCAACATTATACACGTACAAGCCCCCTTGAGAACTAATCTTCTAGAAAATGTAACTTCTTATTTATTGCATTTTTTCTCATCATACATTTTCATGGACATAATATGGTTTTATACAATATTTTAAGTGTATATAATGTTATACAGATAATAAACAAAATTTGACAGATATATCAAATGCATAATTAACCTACATTAGATGCAGGAGGGCTACAGAAATAACCAAAGTAGCTTGACGTGCCTGCAGCCCTCAACCTAGATACAACAATTAAAAAAGAAAGAAAAAAAGAGTTACTTGCAGAAAAGAAAAGAAAAGGGGAGAGAAGAAGCGTTGGTAATAATAGGGACTTTTAGATTTGCGTAGAGTGATACGTGTGACGTCCAACTGGATCATTTAGCCATTTCAATTTCCAGGGTTACCAGTTTACATTAACTGGTTCACGCATATATTTTGACTAAAACTATCACTAACGCTTCACGTGTTTCTGTGACTCGATTCTAAAACTTCTAAAGAATGTGATAATTTCGTTTATGAAGATGTAATTTCATAACCAAACAAAAACAGAAGCGTTAGGTTTACAAACCATGGTCTCCAAGGTAGGGATATTCACGTTATTATAATGGTGATATTGCTGTGACAACTGCGTGATATAGTGTACGTGTGTTTTAAGTGACCTAGTGCAATAAACGTATTAACACATTTATGTAAATTTCAGGTGTTTGAAGAACGTAAATCTGCTCAAGTCGATACCTTGATATTGATGTGATTTTCACGTGATTTTGTTAATAGTAAAGATAACGATGATGATAAGAATAATAATAAGAAAAAACATTGTTACTATCATCATCATCATCATTATCAGTAGCATCGACATCCACATCATCAACATCAGCATCATCCTCAGTATCATCATCAACCTCATCATCATCATTTTCATCATCATCATCATCATTATCCTCATCATCGTCATCATCATCATTATCCTCATAATCATCATCATCATCACCATCATCATCATCATCATTATCCTCATTATCATCATCATCATCATCATCATCATCACCATCATCATCATCAACATCATCATCATCAGTAGCATAAACATCAACATCATCATCATCATCCTCATCATCATCCTCATAATTATCACCATAATCATCATCACTATCATCATCATCACCATCATCATCATCCTCATCATTATCCTCATCATCATCACCATAATCATCATCACTATCATCATCATCATCATCATCATCATCAGTAGCATCGACATCAACATCATCATCATCATCATCCTCATCCTCATCTTCATCACCATAATCATCATCACTATCATCATCATCATCATCATCATCAATTCATCCCCATCATCATCATCACCATCATCATCATCATCATCATCAATTCATCCCCATCATCATCATCACCATCATCATCATCATCAGTAGCATCAACATCATCATCATCATCATCATCATCCTCATCCTCATCATCGTCATCATCATCATCATCATCCTCCTCATCATCATCAGTAGCATCAACATCACCATTATCATCATCATCATCACCATCATCATCACCATCACCATCATCATCATAATCATCATCATCATCACTGTATCATCATCCTCATCATCATCCTCATCATCATCATCATCACCATCATCATCATCATCATCACTATCATCATCATCATCATCATCATCCTCCTCATCATCAGCAGCAGTAGCAGCAGGAGGAGGATAGTAATAGCAGTATTGGTAGTGGCAGAAGTTAATTGATGTAGGGCATGAAGCTTAACATCATGAATTATTTCTGCCACCATTTATTACAAATATGATGATGCAAATTTCGCCTCTCTAAATTTCACCGTTCCATGTGTAATATAAAAGAAATCGCACTGTAAATAACTTCCAAAATTATCCTCTTGTTTTCATTTTGAAATGTTATTCATTGTCTTATTTACAGATGATCCGAGAGATACTTATAGCCTCCTTGATGGTAATCATCCACGGGATGGAAGGCGCTGTCGATGTCTGTCTTTCATACGGGATTTGTAATTGCAGTCATCCTCCACCCGTATTCAGAGTTCTAAACCCATCATTTTTTAAAGGTATGTCTATCATATGTTTCATCAAAACTTTGGTACAATTCCTCTAGTTTAAAGGTAATACAAAGTTTTGGGAAATTTTGAAAATTGGGTGGATAGTGATTCTTTACAATTTTGATATATTTGGATGCCCCTGTGGATGTATTATAAGCACTAGAAAATTTAGCCTCTAAACTACATCTGCTTTCGAGAAAAATTGAATATACAATTTACCGGTGCTCCCGGTAAATTTTGATAAATTTCATATCGCGCCTACGGCCGTACAATGGTAGCTGCGACAATGAAAATATCAGAATATGTAGTTGTGATATATAATTTCCGAACGGGAACAACTAATCGGTAGATATTAGTCAAGAAACATTGTGTTATAGCTTAATTTATATCTTGACCTTGAGAGGGAGCTATACAACATAAAGAGTTTATTGTTTACAATTTCATAACTTTAGACTCGATTTCAACCGCGACAACGATCACTGAATATTGTAGGACCGCATATGCGTCCAATATGTTAATTTGAACCACATTCATGACCCCATACCAAAACTTTGTATTACCTTTAAGGGAAACTCGACCGGTATACAGTGCGTCCCAGAAAAAACGAAACCGAGAAGTATCGATGTTTTATCATAACTTAATCACAACCATAATTAATGAATGATACATATTTGGAAAGCTTAGAGTCTCCTCTTTCAGGAGATGCTACTCGGATGATGCATATTTCACGCATGAGTGATTAAAACTAATTTGAAGAGAGGAAACCGAAAAGTCATTTGGCGGGTGTTATTTGAAAAGGAAAATCACATTTCTAGAAATTTCAATTTCTGCCCTCTCCAATGACACCTCAATCAGGAAAATGAGCCAGGAATAACAAAGTTCTGTTTGTTTAAAGTAAGGCTTGCATTTCCATCATTTGACCAAAAGGGGTTCGTTTTCACTGGCTGCCTGCCGTAGAAACGAACATAGTTACCAAAGTTCTAACTCCGTTTCGTTGACGATCAGCTATGCACAAAGAAGACAAAAGACCTGATGCATGGCTGATCTTCAACGAAACGGAGATAACTCTTTTTTTTCAACTCTGATAAAACATCGATAATTCTCGGTTTCGTTTTTTTCTGGGACGCACTGTATATCTAGTTGGAATCTAAAAAATGAGAGAGACAGATTACCGCAATTTCGATGAAATTCTGACTAAGAAAGATATGTATATGTATTGATGATCTTTATATTAAAAGCTCACTCCATCAATTGGCAAACTCTGTCTTTCAAGGTTCCATAACCAGCAGTTTCTTACGGTATGTCTTTCATGTGCGTTCTAAAACTTTGGTAATATTCTGGGCCACTATGTATAATAAATGATATATGTGCCCCTAGCGGCTTTGGGATTGGATAGATGAAATTTATTTGACTGTTGGATAAGAATGTACGTCTTCGTTTTTTCTTTAAAAGGGCAGTTAGAGAAGGAGGCAATATGCCGTGGTAAAGACTTAAGAATGCAGTCTTTAAAACGTTAATATGAATATAGTTTCATTTTTCTGGTAATGACTCACAGGTAAGGAGGTGTCTGATCCAGAGTTAATCTTTTAAAGACCGTCAATACTACTGAGCTAGAAGGGATTAGACCAACCAGCCAGGTCACTGACAGGTGGCTATCTCATCAACTCAGCTCTCAATTAACATAAGAAAGAGAGGATCACGGGGGACCAAAAGGCACCGATTGGGGAAGTTTTTTCTATATAAAGGGAGCAAGTAGCTACAAGTAGGACAGTGTAGTTTTAAAGGATTTCAATTTGACTGTTCCTCCCATAGAAATCATCTGTGAAGACCCAGGAGTCCCAATGAATGGCTACAAGGCAAACGCGAAGCTGGTATACCATCTGAATGACGCGGTCTACTTTCACTGCAACGACGGGTACACAATGAATGGAAGTATACTCAACTTTTGCACTCAGTCTGGAGAGTGGGCTCACCCTGTGCCCGTATGTGGTGGTCAGTATATAGGGGGGTGTTTCACAAACTTATCTCTAAGTTAGACTTACAAATTATGGAAAGCCGTTTATATAGCATCAACTAAAATATTTTGTTAAAGTTATTTTAAAAGGGATAAAATTGTGACTCAAATCATTCATATTTTCTAATATCAAGGTGATTTCATGTTCTTCATGTGAAATTTGTAAAAAGTCTAAAATACTTAGAATAGATAAATACTTATAAATAGATAGAATTTTCGCTTTTGAATATATGTTATTATAAGGCTACACATGGCTCTCCATAATATTTAAGTCCAACTTAGAGTTAAGTTCGACTTGGGATCTTTGTGAAACACTCCCTGGTTGGATAGTTTCTCTGTTTTGAGTATATGACGTTTAAAACAATCCCCAATGAAAACATATGACATGTGATGAGAAAAAAAACATTTGACCTAGCTGAGTTGAAATGCTCTTGAAGCGTTGACTTACCTCAAGTACACATGCCCTTTGGAGGTATTCTGAGATTTTTTTTATCTCGGTGATTCAAAAAGAAGAGGCAGGGCAATTACTTTTTTCAATTTGTTGGTATATTCTTTCAAGAGGACCGACATGCTCAAAATAGCTGGCCAAGGTATATTTATTCACAGATATTGTGCTATCTGAGTATACTAATATTTTTAGAAGATATTTATATAAAATGTATATCACAGACTTTTTCGGAGGAGGGGGGGGGGGGGGGTGGGGGGCTTTTTTCGAAATATTTTTTTTACCCAATAGAAGAAGACTCGAGATACAAATAATTTGTGCATATCTAGACTGTAAGAAACTCTTGACTGCTATGGGTGAAAAATGTTACCTTTTCTAGATATTGACGAATGCACTGTGAATACATGGTCCTGTGATTCTGTAAATGGAATATGTATGAACTCGGTCGGCTCGTACATCTGTTTATTTAACTCTGGATATGAATTAAGCGATGATGGCATTACTTGCAATGGTAAGGTTGTAATGTCAAATTAGTGTCACCTTTTGGTGACATCTTTACCAATCTTTAGATTCACAATGCTCTAAATTACAAGTTATACATGATCATGAAGGCCAAAAGACAGTAGAAAGTTTGGAGCCACTTCTAGACCAACTTCTATATATTGACGAATGCACTGTGAATACATCGTCCTGTGATTCTGTAAATGGAGTGTGTAAGAACTCAGTCGGCTCGTACATCTGTCCAAGTAACTCTGGATATGAATTACGCGATAATGGCATTACTTGCAGTGGTAAGGATGTAATGTCAAATTAGTGTCACCTTTTAGTGACATCTTTACCAATCCTTGTATTCATAATGCTCTAAATGACAAGTTGTACATGAACATGTAGTCCAAAAGACAGTAGAAAGTTTGGAGCCACTTCTAGAACAATAAGCATTTAACTTTCTAAACTAGCAATGGAGAGTGAAACGTGTAATTACTCTTTTCGTATAAAAAATGGCAATTTTCCGTTTATTTTTCATAGTTTTCATTAACATAGTTTCTTTGAACATTCATTTTAATGTTTTTTACTGCATGAAAGAGTCGAGATACAAATAGTTGTCGCCAATTTAAGAGGAAAGCTGATTCATCTAGACGCTAGAAAACTGTTGACTTCAATGGGTGATTTATTTTAACTTTGCCTAGATATTGACGAATGCACTGTGAATACATGGTCCTGTGATTCTTTAAATGGAGTGTGTAGGAACTCAGTCGGCTCGTACTTCTGTTCATGTAACTCTGGATATGAATTACGCGATGATGGCATTGCTTGCAGTGGTAAGGATGTAATGTCAAATTAGTGTCACCTTTTAGTGACATCTTTACCAATCTTTGTATTCATAATGCTCTAAATTACAAGTTGTACATGCACACGAAGTCCAAAAGACAGTAGAAAGTTTAAAGCCACTTCTAGAACAATAAGCATTTAACTTTCTAAACTAGCAATGGAGAGTGAAACGTGTAATTACTCTTTTCGTATAAAAATTGGCATTTTCCCGTTTATTTTTCGTAGTTTTCATTCACACAATTTTATTGAACTTCCTTTTTATGTTTTTAACTGCATGAAAAGTCGAGATACAAATAGTTGTCGCCAATTTAAGAGGAAAGCTGATTCATCTAGACGCTAGAAAACTGTTGACTTCTATGGGTGATTTATTTTAACCTTTTCTAGATATTGACGAATGCACTGTGAATACATCGTCCTGTGATTCTGTGAATGGAGTGTGTAGGAACTCAGTCGGCTCGTACATCTGTTCATGTAACTCTGGATATGAATTACGCGATGATGGCATTGCTTGCAGTGGTAAGGATGTAATGTCAAATTAGTGTCACCTTTTAGTGACATCTTTACTAATCTTTAGATTCATAATGCTCTAAATTACAAGTTGTACAAGATCATGAAGTCCAGAAGACACTAGAAAGTTTAAAGCCACTTTTGGAACAGTACACTGTCACTATGCCATCAATAAAACCGATTTAATCTGAAATAGGCATTCCACTTTTTAAATTTGCAATGGAGAGTGAAGTTTGTAATCACTATGTTCGTTTACAAATTAGCAATTTCTCCTTGATTTGTTGAAGTTTTCATTCACAATCTTGGATTTAACATCCATTTTTACTTGTTCACTCTATGAAAGAGTCGACATACGGATAATTGTTACCAATCAAAGAGAAAAGTTGATGCATCTAGACTTTTAGAAATATCTTGACTGCTATGGGTGAACAAATGTTAGCTTTTCCTTGATATTGACGAATGCACTGTGGATCCATCGTTCTATGATTCTGCAAATGGAATGCGTATGAACTTCATCTTCTATTTCCAAATGTTAAAACGAATTGAATATGTTAAGTATCGGGTGATATATGCCGATCCGAATGAATTTATTTCGATAGGAAATCATTGTTATTTTGCTCTTGTTCATAACATTATATCTGGTCCGGTGTCTGTTGCTATCTGTAGTCCCATGCCCAGCGGAAGAAGTTTCCCATGGGAGATTAATTTACACAACCCCTGATGGAGTTAATAAGCATGATCACCCTCTTCATGGAGACACCCGGCTCCTTCGATGCGGCTCAGGTTACAGGTCAAGAAGCTTCAATAGAAGTCGATGTGATAATGGAGTATGGGTGGAAGGCAGTCGTGATATCCAATGTCATCCAAGTAAGTTCATATTTTCATTTCTTGTCCTGTGAGTCATTACTAATGTTAAAGGGAGGGTATCATTGAAAATACTGGTTAACGCCATCTACGTCTTCTTTTGGACAAATACACGTAAACGAATGGACTTGATTAACTTGGTCAGCGCGCTAGCGTTCGCGAAACAGACCGAAGTTGTCCTCACGCTTCGGTTTCGCGTATGTTGCACGCACATGAATGCTGCGGTCGCGTCGTCCGTAGACATATTATACCCGATTGGCCCCGAGTAGGGCCACATGAAAAACACATAGTTTCGTCATGACACACTCCCTTTAAAAGTTAGTCTCAGTAATTAATTGAAAACCGAACAATTTATGTGATGAATATATTAAAGTTACCATATGTCAAGTTTGTCACTGTCGCCATTTTCTTCTGTCACACCAGCAAGCAGTTTTAATACTGGTCAAGTTTGACAGGTTTACCAGCTAACCTGTCAGTTGCCGTACCAGCATTCCAGTTGAGTTTTTGTCCCGCAACCAAAGTGAACGTTAAGATTTATAGAAACTTGATTATAAGATAAATTCAAGTTGAACTCTAAAAACGAACTCTAAAGAACTGTACATAATCTATACTTAAAGAAAAGGTTGAGTTCTGGGAAGAGGTGAAAAATAATTTGTGAGCATTACTCATTCTTATTATGCAAGTGTGGAAGAACATCAGATAAGACATGTTTCCTGAAAAGCATGGCTCTTCAAATGCCTTCATATTCTAAATATGCATGTAACATCGTAAAAATCGGGGGCCGGTTTTTTACGCCACGTGTTCGTGTAGTCCCATATACATCTTTCTGTGTACAGTGTTTGTAACTTTACCAAGACTTGGCCAAATTTCTTATCATTTTGATGATTACAGAACCTTGCAATACACACAAATTCTTATATGCTAGATGATCAACCTTTTCTGGTCGGTTCCACACCGTGTCTTTCACAATGCAATCGCATGACCAGGGCCCCGTCTTACAAAGAGTTACGATCGATCCAAATCAATCTTAAGCCCTCCAATCAATCGCAAGTTTGCAGTCTCCTATCTCTTATGTACATAGTTGCGATTGATATCAATCGCAAATACTGTTGCGATTGATATCAACTCTTTGTAAGACGGGGCCCAGAACTCAACTTCATCTTTAACTCATTAGCATAATGTACGTGGCATTGAATCCAAAATGGCCGCGCCCATGCGACGTACTTTTAGTCATGTTTGTGTCCAGTCAAATAATTGTCAATACAGAATTACAGCTAAAGGCAAATATAGTTTAATGTTCTTTATAGATGTACTGAAGAAAAAGGTTGTTTTTAGTCTACATCAAATCATGGATTCATGGTGCTTAATTGTTTCGGTGACAAAAGTTAGTCTGCAAAAGTTGATTTAGCTTGCGGACACTATTAATTACTACTTGTTGAAATGTAAAGCTTTGCTCTTCTGTCATGGTATTCGGAGTAAGAATTGAATTTAAGTGTTTATTCGATTGATAGTTAATAATGAAATTCTAAGGCAGACTGATTATCAAGATATTTATGATTGGAAATCGAAATCAAATTTTGCGCTTTCCTATTAAACGGTCTGTATAACACTACAGTCTAAAGGGGAAAATGAGTATGGTAAAACCGGTCACTCAAAGATTTTTACTTTTTTGAGGCACTTCAGGATCAGTTTGAAGCGCTTTTTTTTTAGGGCTTCAATATTAGACCATATCACAGACACTGATAACACGTAGGGCAATGCACCTCAGATTTAACATTGTTAAACGGTGCCTTTAAGTTGAATCCATCAAACCGTGTTGAAATTAATGAAGACATTTTATAAGGTAGTTTTTCCTAGGCGAGCAGAAATATGTAATTTAAGCCTGTCAAAGTCAGTGGAAGGTGATACAATACATTTCAAGTGACAATCCAATATTGAGGTTTTAGATCGAATTTATACAATGCAAGGTAGATGCGAATAATAAAGCTTGCGTATGGTTGCAAGATAGACATATTTACAATGAAAATTGGCAGTAATCTGTTTAAGTCAGTTTAAGAAAGCTCTGAAAATATGAGTTTATCAAAGTAGTGTATATTAGGAAATGCAAAAGGTTTTGTAGCATTTGGTTAATCTGATTTTTTATAGACCCAGGTACTTGGTTTTTTCAGATATTTTATATTGTGTCTTGTGTAACATGAACAATGTACTCAATTTGCCATTGTTATCAGGTGGGCTGTATAACGTACAGACCACCTTATAATTTCGTTAGAATTGCCTTTATTATTTATTTTTCCTATTTCGAACCACTTTTTTGTAGGCACGATGACTTAAAAATGGCTCAATCAAAAGCCTTCAAATTTGGCACACATATGTATTGGCATATGTACAAAGCACAATAACGTTTTCATTATTGACCTTCACTGATGACGTCATCTAGGCGCCATTTTGTAAAATTCTACGAAAATCAACTCATGATCATATCTTCATAACCAAAGGTTATTTCTCATCCATATTTATCATGATCAAGGTCAATATCCGTCCGGTCAATTACAGGTCAAAAAACGCGCGCGTACGTCCGCGCGTCAATGCGCGTGCAAAATTTTAAAATGCTCAAAATCGTATCAAAATCATTTTGCATACGTTTTAGGCCATTCTAAGCATTTTATAAAAAATCGCGCGCGCGTTTTCGAGCGTAAAACTATTACACAACATAGAATCGCCATTTTTTTCCTCCATAATATTCCACATATTTTTACAAACAAATTGATACCATTTTTGTCTCTTTATAACTATTAATAACGGAATGATCGACCGTTAAACAAACTTTCCGTGCGCGCGAGCTCTTGTAATAGCATATATGGACAAAAAACATGCCTACACAAAATCCATTGTAGCTCTTTAGGGTTCCAAGGACACCCTAGTCAGGTGGGCTGTATAACGTACAAACCACCTTATAATTTCGTTAGAATTGCCTTTATTTATTTATTATTTATCAGGTGGGCTGTATAACGTACAGACCACCTTATAATTTCGTTAGAATTGCCTTTATTTATCAGGTGGGCTGTATAACGTACAGACCACCTTATAATTTCGTAAGAATTGCCTTTATTTATTTATTTTTAGGTGGTCTGTCGATGACAGATCACCTATTGATTTCGCTAGAATTTTCTTTATTCTTTATTTTTATTTCTTCCGTACACTTTTTTGTACGCACGTTCACTCGAAATCGACAGGGTCAATTTCCTTCAAATTTCTGTCAGTCATCAAGCCCTATGATTTCAAGTCAAATCAACTTTTTCAAGGTCATTAGGTCACCGTGACGTCATCCAGGCGCCATTTTGTAAAAATCAGGTCATTATCATATCTCGATAACGAGTCATCAAAAATAAACCATATTTAGTATACATCAATTTCAGGTCAAAGGTCAACTAAAAATGTCAACAAATTCCGCGCGCGCACCTCGACGCGCACGTACGCGCGCATCAAAATTGTATAATGCTCCGATTCGTTTAAAATTAATTTTGCATACGTTTCAGGCCATTTTAAGCATTTTGCAAAAAAACGCGCACACGCGCATGCGCGCTCGTTTTCGCGCGTACATGCATTTTGCAACGTAGAATCGCCAATTTTTTTCTGTCATCATATTTTGCACATTTCTTCAAGCATTTTGATAACTTGTTCACCTTTTTCTGACCATTAATAACGGAATGAGCGTCCGTTAAGATACGCATCCGTGCGTGCGAGCTCTTGTAATACATAACATACATGTGCAAAAACATGCCTATACAAAATTCATTGTAACTCTTCAGAATGGACAGATACCCCCAATTTTCTTTCATATTTAGATAGATTATGAGTCGGAGATATGATTTCATGTCTCATTTGACCCTCAATTAACTCATGACGTCATCATAATGGCCTCCGAACTCAAAATTTCAATTTGCATATTATGACGTCAGCAGATTTTTGGAAAATTGATTGTATCTCTGTAAATATTGACCAATTTTCTTTCAAATTTTGATATGTTCTACCTGAGAATATTCTCTACAAATGCAGTAACCACGATATTTCATTTTGACAATGGTATCATGGCGTATTTTTGCGATTAAAGGACGCATGTCAATTTTTCACATTTTGCATGTATTCTCTATGGGACATGACTTTTTCTCAAAACTCGATTCTACATTCCAATCTTTCGCGAGCAATTTCTACGTCGTTTTAGCTTCATTTACGCTGATCTTCGAGTATGTTGTAGCTGAGACAAAAAGCTATCTCAAATGTACCCTTTATTTTGTCTCAATTTTTTGTTGGATCAGCCCACCTATACTTGTCCCAAACAAGTATTACAAATCTAGTTTGTATCTGTATTCGCAGATCGAATAAAAGCTTCACGGTTTTATATCTCCATTTACCGCTGAACTCCTAAACTTCGATATTCCTTCTCTTCAACTATTCAATTGCTCATAGTACCTAGAAGAGTTTGATTTGAAATACTTTGTATCAAAATGTACTTCTATCATTGTTTGGTCTAAGTATGAATATTTTACACCTGTAATAGTTACCTTTATTTATTCATTCATATTACACAGTATCATAATCCAAGGAATTAAGCAGTTTAGACATAAACCAATTCATGACGTTAACGAATTCCTGTGACTTTTGTAACACTATGCTTTTACCTGTGGTGTGTTCAAACTCTTTTAGAGCCGTGCGACCCTATCCGAGAAACAATGGGTCTTGTTAACTACACCAGAAAAGCTGAGCGAAATGGAAAATGCAGCCATGGAACAGTGGTAACTGTCAATTGTGATTCTGGATACGTACCTGCATTTGGTAATGGAACATCCGTCTGCAATGCCTCCCGATGGTGGAAAGTTATTCCTACGTGCACACAATGTAAGAATATCGAATTTTGTTCTGTGTGTTCAACAGTGTCTTCACAGATTACGATTCAGATTCAGATTCAGATAAATTTTATTGGTCCATTTGGAAATTCAATTGTTGGCATTAAATAAAGCACATAAACAATATACAATAGAGAATAATATACACAAATAGATAATACGATTACCACACTTGTTGTAGCAATTGTACAATGACATATTCATATGGAAACACGGATATAAATCATTTTACACAGTGGAATAATATAAGAGAATAGGATAGATAAATGGACTTACAACACTCTTGAAAACGTACGATTGCGTAGAATTCGGAAATAGTTTTTTTAATTATCTTTAATTATTATTATTTTATAATTATCATTATTATTATCATCATCATTATTATTATCATCATCATTATCAACAGTATTTATTACACGTATCACTATTTGTCACGGTTATATAGCTGAATTCTTTTTTTGTTGTTCTTAGTGTAATACAGAGCTATAATTATGATCTGTCCATAACTTTATCAAGATGCTACAGTTAACCTTGCATAATAAACAATAAGACATTAACATATGGATATCAAATGAGCATGATCTTTCTGGACGCGTTAGACCAATTAAGTTGCGTTGCTTTCACAAACTAGGCCTTCGGTAATACCATATTGTAGCATTTTTGAAAGGCTGCTGTTGTTTTCTTTTGTCGAAAGAAGTATTAAGGACAAACTAAGCGAAAACAAAGAAAATAAAAGAAAGGACAACAGAGGATGATACATGAATGACAATATTGAGGACAAAAGTAATGAAAATGAAAAGATTAAAGGCTACCACATGACTTTAATGAAATTATCAATTTGTAATACTCAGCTACCATAGGAACCTATAGAGCACGTCTAAATGTGTTGCAATGTTGTATTGTTAACTCTTATCCTGCCATAGGGCTAATTCACATTGTGCCAAGCCACAAATCCCCCAGTGCCAAGTTTATAACGAGATAATCGGATTAACGCAATGGTACTATCAATAGCGCGTGCCAAAGACTAGGCACAGTTCAATGGGCATTAACAATAACTGCTATTACAAATGCGTGCAAACATGCACGACGCAGAGAAGCAGTAGGTTGCTCGCGTGTACAAAGCACTATAACAACAGTGTGCATGCAGCCTTGTGGCAGGCTATGAGTTAAAATGAACACAACGTTGATGTCTTTTTCTACTTTAGCACGTAACAAACTCCTAGACCCACATACCCAAACCTCTCAAACACCAACTAAGAATAAGAATAATCGAGCTGTAGTAAGCAATGCATGGTTGGCCAGGGATGGTAATACCGACAGTGCTCCGCAGTTTTGCTCAAGAACACGTAAGTATAGCAGCAGTGGCTGAGAACATTTATTCCTACTGGTGTCACGATGAGATATTATTTAATAAAGAGAGCGCCAGCTACGTTCTGGTATTGTGCTTGATATACAAATGGACGCTTTGACTCCTGTTATCGTTCTGGGATCCCGATCGACATGTGGAAGTCGCCGCACTGGCACTTCTATTGACATGAAATGGTACTGAAAGTGTAGGTGAAAGTTGAAGTGGTAAAAATAAAAGGTACCTCTACTTTTCTATTTTCTATTTCACGCTTTCGCTATATTTCAAATGTCACAGCTACTTTACACATCTCGCCGCTCAAATCATATCTGAGTTTACTATCCAAATAGTTGAGAAGGGTTTGATCCGCTGGAAGAAAGGCATGTATTGCTTCTATCTACCCGGATATTTGGTATCCATTCGGATTGATCAATGTTATGTTATGTAAATCAATGAAAATGTATGTTTCTTTTTATATATTTGGTACTGAATGAATGCAATAAAGAATGCTACAAAAAAAAAAACACCGTACATGCCTGCTTAATTACTCCTGAATGAGAGGAGCATATAGTGCATATATTGCGTGCCATATTCCAATATGTGAATTTGTATTTGTAAAGTGCTTACAGATGTGTTGCCGTACTTATAATTGCCATAAAAGTTCAAGTTCTTTTACTTAACTGCATCTATTGATTTGCTTATAAGTCAATTCAGTAATGCGTTTTTATTTGTATTGTCTATTTTTTTTTTCATTTATAGTTCTATGTATTATTTTGTAATGATGTTTATGTATTCATTTTTTGTGCTCATTCATTTATTTGACTTTTTATTAAAATGATATTCGATTATTGCAGTACTCTGCTCTCCAAAAAGTTATTGGAATCTACTTATCTGTTTATCTCAAACCTTACCTTTCTGTATTAATTTGATGTTTACTATTGTTTTATTTTATTTTTCATTCATTGTAGCGTTGACCTACCATCCATGGTGGAAGGCTGTCCTGAAGAATATCTATAATATCACCCTGGTGAAAATTTACAATCGTCTTGATAGGGAAGATCACAGTGAGTAGACGACCCTTTTTATTTATTAACAAGTGTGGCAATCATATTAATAATGTTAGGATACAGATGTTACCGGTATACAGATTCATTGAATATGCTCATTATGTGCACATCCAGAATAGCCCATTTACTAAATTCTAGCGTTTTAAGTTTTCTGCAACAGTTTGTTTCCATTTTCCTGTGCTCGTATTGTCATGGGCCATTGTGATGTTAGAGTGTGTTAGAAACACTAATCAGTTAGTTTTTCTTTCTTTCAGACCTGCTTGTTACAAAAATGATACTGTGAATTTTAAAGTATTGTTTATAATTTCCTCAGTGAAACCAACCTTTGGGTGGTATTCTGAGATTCATTTGATATCGGATAAAATATTAGATCTTTCTCATTTAGATAAAATACCCTTACAATCTTTTTAAATCAATATTCTCAAAATCATTTTAGCGAGATTTTATCTCACTAAGACACACCCATTTGTAATGCGATAAACAATCAAAAAAATGGTTACATTTCACTTTCACTAAGACACACCCATTTGTGATGCGATAACCAATAGGAAATGTTGTTACATTTCACCCTCTTCATGTCCAGCCAATAGAATGACGGTGTATTACTCTTGGCAAGAGAATACGAAAGCATGACCTTTTCAGATTTTACAGCAAGTGCCCCAAATGCTCTTTTGCTAAGATTTCTTTGAAAATGACTGAGGTAGTACCAAAGGCTTTTGAACACCATTACAAGTATTATATTAGTCAGTAAAACATATGGAAATAAAACTCTAAAACCCTATGAGTAATTTAATTGAGAAATGTAGTCTGTACTCAGTATTTTTTTTCTATTTATCACACAACAAGCAGCATACTATAAAATAAATACTGCACTAACTCATAGTCAGAGAGATAAAATATCACCGAATTTATATCAAATTTCATTTTTCTTTCGCATAAAATAAGATGGGCGTTACCGTTAAAGTTGCGCGTGTCATGTATTTAACTGTAATTGGCACGTAATGAGTAAGAAATTGAGTTAAAATTCTAGATAAAATCTGAGATAAAGTGTGGTCTCAAAATTACGATTATTTTATATAGATAAAATGAAAAAAATTAGAGATAACATCATGCTCAGAATACTACCCGGGGCTATGCTATGTTTAAAAGTCAGATTACATTTTTTCCCCAAAATTTTAAGCATATTAAAAAACGACATTTAATTTTCTCATGTACAGAAGCCATGTTGACAATTTCATGCATATGTTATTATACTGAGGTATGTTCATCAATACAAGAAAGAATACTCATCAGCCTCACATATTCAACTTTTTGGGTTCATGAAAGAACCGTTGGTCATGTCACGAAAAACCATCCCTTTGCATTGAATGAATGTAATGCTTGCATTGTTTACAGAAGCAATACAAACTTCAAACACTGCTTTCAAAAGCAATACTTCACTTCGTAGCTACAATTGAACAGGGTTTATAACAAAATAAATCTACACCAAAGTATTTTGAATTGTAGGATTTGATCTGGTGGGTGCGGAAATAAGAGTAGGGGTGAATGAAGATTACACCACAAACTGCTTTCAAAAGCAATACTTAACTTCGCAATTACAATTGAACAAGGTTTATGACAAAATAAATCTAAACCAAAGTATTTTTAACTGTAGGGTTTGATCTAGTGGGTGCAGAAATAAGAGTAGGGGTGAATGAAGATTACACCACAAACCTGCTGTCAAAAGCAATACTTAACTTCGTAGTTACAATTGAACAGGGTTTATGTCAAAATAAATCTAAACCAAAGTATTTTGCATTGTAGGATTTGATCTGGTGGGTGCAGAAATAAGAGTAGGGGTGAATGAAGATTACACCACAAACCTGCTGTGTGGAGAGCCAGTCACCCGACGCCAAATCGAGAATAGTACTGAGGCAAACCATGGGATAACAATAATATGTGAGAGAGAGGGTATCACCGGTATCAGGGGTAACATCATCAGTGTGCACATTCCAAAAATAAATGAGAGACGAGAGCTCAGTCTGTGCGAGGTTGAGGTCTATCAACAAGGAGAACCTATACCAGGTAAGCTTTGTTGTTTGATTATTTGAATTACTGATATGAATAAATTAATTGATATATCTGTAAAGTACTAAGAGCCACTGTCAATATATTAAAGAGATCATTTAACAATGTTAAATCTGAGATGCTTGATCTTACGTGTTATCAGTGTCTGTGGTATGGTGTTTAATTAAAGCCCTGAAAATTAATTTCGCTTCAAAGTGATCAAGAATTGCCTCAAAAAGGTAAAAACCTTAGCGTGACTTGTTTTCCCCAATAGACTGTAGTGAATATGAAAACCGTTTGGCAAACGCAAAATTCAGCCGATCGCCTGTCTGATTATCAAGATATTTATGATTGAAAATCACAATGCATTATGCTACAGTCACAAAAGTTCGTACGAACGATAATTTTGTACGAATCTCCCTGTTTTTCCATTGTCTTCCCGAATGTCCATTGTCTGAAAATCGTTCGTACGGCGTTCGTAGCAGTTCGTAAAGGCATTTGTGACCGATTCTTTAGTACCGAATGTCAAGCAAAGTTTCTTCCATTGTATTTATTTTTTGTTCTTACTTTATGCTCCACGATTTTTTCTTAATAGCACGATCTTGCAAAGCGCCAGACCTCCCAGATCATATGACACCTTTACGATCTCGCTTTCCTCATGGTACGCTTCTCAATGTCTCGTGTGAAGATGGGTTTCAGCTTAGTACGAACCAAGAACTGCCAAGATGCCATGAAGGTGACTGGAGCCCACCCTTAGCTGCAACATGTCAGAGAGGTAAGTCTTGAGAGAATATGACCACTATCTAGTATACAACTATTACTGTGAACATGACGGACAAAGAAAGAGGACAAAATATACAGTTCCTCATTCTACCCTCAACAATTGCTGTGGTAGACAAAGGAACATCCCTTTACTGCTATTATATACAAATGAGTAGAACAGGTGTCATATGCATATTCACCTGTTCCACACATATTTACATAATAGCACTTAAGGGATGTTCCTTTGTCTACCACAGTAATTGTTGAGGCTAGAATGAGGAACTGTATTTTGTTGTCCTCTTTCTTTGTCCGTCATATTCATAGTGTATTGAACGGTTAATACTATTGTCAGACGCGTACACAGGGGGGGGGGGTGGGGTTAACCCCCCCCCCTTTGGTATTTTTATGTGTATAAACCCCCCCCCCCCCATAACCCCCCTAAACCCCCCCCCCCTTTGTTTTTTGTTTTTAATTATTAAAAAAATAAAAAATAAAATAAAAAAATTATCCCCATAGCTGAACTAAACAAGGTGACCTTACCCCCCCCCCCAACGGAGCCAAATGTCAAATTTTCAAATTTCGAGACCCCCCCCCCCCCCCCCACAAAAAAAAAAAAAAAAAAAAAAAAAATGTCCTCTTACCCCTCCCCCCCCCCCCCCCCGGCTTATTCAGCGGTCGGCTGAGTCATTGCGATTTTTTGGGGGGGACCAAAAAAAAAAAGTGACCTCTTACCCCCCTCCCCCCCCCCCCCCCCCCCCCGCTGGCTGAGTTACAAAAAACACATACAATCCTCTTACAAGGAGTATGAATAATTTAGTTGTTAACAGTATATATATATATATACATGTATATATGTATATAAATTATATCTGGGCTGTATATTATATCCTCATACTTTCAAATTCAGTTTTGACATTGTTGTGATGTGGTACCATGTGGACGTCCAGCGAGGGCCTTTAACATAGCACCATCGAAATACTAACATGGTACAATGATATGTGCATGGTACCAGGGACATAGAAGGGGTTGCACAGAGAGAGGGTGAGTAACAGGTTAAACAAATTCGGAGGACTTTGGGTAAATAAGAAGTCTTTTTATAGTCAGGTGGCTTAGTGAAATTATCGTTACTTGCCGGATAAAAGCATCATTTTTTGGTACAGGGCTCCCTTAGGACCTACTAAACGATATTAGGCTAGGAGCCCCCGGCAAAAAAATTCAATTTAAGGGTGTGAGGGCGGGGGCGTCTTTTGGAGCCCCCAAATAATTTCATAACATTGATTTGTTGTTGTACAAACGCCATTTTTGGTACGGGGCTTCCTTAGGACCTACTGAACGATATTAGGGTAGAAGTCCCCCGGAAGAATATCATATAAGGGTGTGGGGCGGGGGGGGGGGCATCGCTTTCGTAGCCCCCAAATAATATGTAAGGTAATATAACATTTATTTGATGTTTTACAAACGCCATGGATCCCCCAATCACCCATTTATGAGTACGTATGCCGGGGGCTCCTACCTTACCATCATTCAGCAGGTCCTAATGAAGCCCTGTACCAAAAATGGCATTTGTAAAACAACAAATCAATGTGTCATTACCTTACAAATGATTTGTGGACTACGAGGCGCAGTGTGATGAAAATAAAAGAAAGGGAATCAGGCCGACGTTACTTTTATGTTCATTTTTCCTTCTATTTCTTTCTTTTTCGTGCAAAATTGGAAGTAACATGCGAATTCGAAAAATAGTTATAGTTTGCAGTATCAACACGAATCCTTGTAAAGACTTTAAACTTTAAATTTCGTATCTTTAATAGTACATTCCCGCACAGGGTATCAAACCTTACCACTGCCAAAACACCATGCCTTTCTAACTACCCAGTAACACAACACTTTCCCTAACCACTACGTCATACCTTCAGAACTTACCCAAGTATTACAAGATCCTGATAGAGTGTCAAATCATGTCATGCTTTATGATATGGAGGTCAAAAGTGTTGATATTCTTTTCATCAACTCAATATGACGATCTATTCAGACCACAAATTTCCATTGTTTGCTTTCCGTGTAGGCAGGCAATGGAATGTCAAATGAACGGATTTACCACCTTCATATTGAAGGATGTTTGTATGCCTTTCTATATTTAGACAATATGAGTGTACACATAATAAGAAAGACAAATACTAATCTGATATTATATTGACTACTACACGAGGAAATTTTGTTCTAAGCCTCTGAAGCTTTTTGCAGAGCAATGAACGTGAAACCGATTTGCTAATGTGAAGATCTCCGCGCTCTTTGATATTTATTTGCTTACATCATACATCTAAACAACAATATGATGCATATGAGGAACACATATATTCCCAACAAATAATATAGGTGTGTACTTATAGGCACTATATGCCAGCCTAGACGAGAAAGAGAGATATATATATAGAGAGAGAGAGAGAAAGAGAGATAAAAATGCGAGAACTCAACTCTGACATGACATTGGGTGTTCCAGAATATGTAGGCGTGAAGAAAATGGTCTAGGAACGTGAGACGTAGCTGAAGAAGGCCTCACAAGCCGAAAGCTCGTAATAAAATTGTTAAGTACAGCTACGTCTCACGTTCCTAGGTCATTTTCTTCACCGATATATATATATATATATATATATATATATACAGTGCGTCCCAGAAAAAAAGAAACCGAGAAGTATCGATGTTTTATCATAACTTAATCACAACCATAATTAATGAATGATACATATTTGGAAAGCTTAGAGTCTCCTCTTTCAGCTGATGCTACTCACGTGATGCATATTTCACGCATGAGTGATTAAAAGCAATTTGAAGAAAGGAAACCAAAAAGTAATTTGGCGGGCGGTATCTGAATTTCAAAGAAGAAATCATATTTCTAGAAAGTTCATTTTCTGCTCTTTCATAATGATACCTCAATCAAGAAAAATGAGCGAGGAATGACAAAGTTCTGTTTGTTTAAAGTAGCCCTTACATTTTCATAATTTTCAAAAAAAGAATTCGTTTTCACTGGGTGCCTGCCGTAGCAAAAAGCAGATTTGACAAAAGACTTAACTCCGTTTCGTTGACAATCAGCCATGCATGAAGACTCTCGTCTACGGCTGATTGTCAAAGAAACGGAGTTAAGTCTTTTGTTAATTTCGTTTATTGATACGACAGGCAGCCAGTGAAACGAATTCGTTTAATAAAATTATGGAAATGCAAGCACTACTTTAAACAAACATAACTTTGTCATTCCTTGCTCATTTTTCCTGATTGAGGTGTCATATGAAAGGGCAGAAACTCAACTTTCTAGAAATGTGAATTTGTCTTCGAAATTCAGATACCGCCCGCCAAATGTCTTTTTGGTTTCCTTCCTTCAAATTGCTTTTAATCACTCATGCGTGAAAAATGCATTATCTGAGTAGCATCACATGAAAGAGGAGACTCTAAGCTTTCCAAATATGTATCATTTATTAATTATAGTTGTGATTAAGTTATGATAGAACATCGATACTTCTCGGTTTCGTTTTTTTCTGGAACGCACTGTATATATACAGTACGTCCCAGAAAAAAGATTTTGAGCAAGGGCAGGAGGGAGGTCCCCAGAGTGAATGCTAAACATGAGTATTCCAAGTTGCATTGAATAGAGATCTTCTAGTTTTAGAATACTGTTTTCATAATAAAGTAGATTTGTATGTGCACGATAGTTCGCTTTTCAAATTATTCTGATAACCCGCTTCTGCACAACGAAAAGCCTGTGGATTTGAGTTTGGGATGATTTGCCCCATACCAACATACCATAATTAATATATGATAAAATAAGAGTAGAGTACAAAATGAACAATACCTCTTGAGGTAAACATGATCTCAACTTATAAATAACACCAGTATTTTTTGACACCACTTTACTTAATTTGTCCACATGAGTTTTCCAATTCAGTTTCTCGTCTATGTATATTCCAAGAAATTTTGTTGAAGTTACTCTCTCAATTAGGTTATAATTAAATGCCACTTCACCTGGCAAAATATTAACTGAATTACTGAACAGTATATGATTAGTTTTCTGAAGATTCAAGGATAACTTTTCGAAACTGTTCATTAACAGTTTTCAACAATGTTTGTGGACATTTATCAGAACAAAATACACTTGAGTCATCAGCAAAAAATATGAATGATAATACACTTGATGAGCGTTGAAAATCATTAATATACAAGATGAATAAAAGTGGTCCCAAAATGGATCCCCGGAGAACATCACATGATACTTTTTGGGGACTAGAGTTAATTCCTTTTAAGGACACATATAGCTTTCTATCAGTAAGATAACTTCTAAACCAATCCAAGGCGACTCCCCTGACACCATAATGACATAATTTACTTAAGACAATTTCATGGTCTACAGTATCAAAGGCCTTGGAAAAGTCTAAAAATGTACCGATGGTGTTCAAGCGACTATCTAAGGCAGAAGGAAGTTTATCTATAAGGTGTAAAATTGCATGTGTTGTTGTATGCTTCTCCCGAAAACCAAACTGATAATTACTGAAGATACATGTTTTGTTTAAAAATGTTATAGTCCTTACATGAATAATTTTTTCCAGAATTTTTGAAAAACAGGTTAACAAAGAAATCGGACGATAATTTTTCAGTATAAATTGAGAGTCACCTTTTTTAAAAATTGGTACAACTTTTGCGATCTTCATGTTTATCGGTACAACTCCGCTTGATATAGACAAATTAAAAATATGAACCAGTGGTTGAAGGATACCTACAATAACTTGCTTAATAAGTTCGTTCCCAATATGATCATACCCAGGACTTTTCTTGTTCTTGAGGGCTCTAACAATACCAAGCAATTCTTCGGGGCACCAAAAATAAACTGTGCATGTTAGGTTCTCCTAAGTAATCATGAAAATCAGTTTGACTGTTCGGAATATTTTTTTTTTCTTCAGATTCGGACCAATATTACAAAAATATTCATTAAACTTTTCCACTATAATATTTTTTATCTTCAACCACTTGGTCATCTATATTCATTTGTATTATACTTGTTACTTTAGATGCTTTTTGAAATACATTTCTTATCACCTTACACGTGCCCTTGATATTATTGTAAGTTGCTTGAAACTGTGCTAAATAGTATTGTTTTTTGGCTGCACGCAGAACAGAAGTCAGAGTATTTCTGTAAACGGAATATTTCCTTTTTAAAGCTTCTGTCTCTGCTTTCTTATACTTATAAAACAGCTCATTTTTCTTATTTATTGATTTCAGCATAGCATTGGTGACCCACGGCAAACGTGGAGTTCTTCTACGGTTGTTTTTACTCTTTACTACTGGAATATAATCACTGTATTAAACATAATTATGATTTCGAATCGATCTAAAAATATAGTGTAGCTCTGAAAGGAATGAGTGGTTATTTCCCAATCAAGACTTAATTATATTCCTATTTATTTGAACATTAGTCCATATGAAAGCTTTATACAAAATCCAAATTATTCGTACATAAAGATTATTCAGGTTCATTCGGTTTATTTCAGAAATTATGTGACAGAAATACTCTCCAAACCGCGTTGTTCAATTAAACATGAATTTGTAATTACTGTGATTCTAATTTCCATTATTACATTAAGAAATTAAATATCACGTAATGGTTAAAAGGTGATTTTTTTTAATTTTATTCCGGGTATGGTGGTATTAAACAATTGCTACAAATACATATAACTAACTTTTGAAGTAATAACCATATTTACGTGAAAAATGTATTTGCTATAACTTCAACTGGGTTATATGTGTTATCTAGGGTACGCATATGCTTGTTCCCTCTTTTTGAAAGCACCCCTATCTGAGGACTGCCAACATTTTCAAACCCCCCCCCCTTTCGCGGGCTTTTGCTGCCTTGGAGACCCCCCTAAATCAGGGAAAATGCTCTATGTACCCCCCTAAATTCGGAATAATTTCTCAGGAGTCCAAGGAGATGAGAGAAAAAAAAAAAAAAAAAAAAAAACCCTTTATAAAGAAATCTCCGGGTGAAAAGTCAAATACCTCCCTTTTTTTACAATTCTCGGGCCGGACTTTGTCCGCACGAAAAGTACCCCTTTACCGGACATTTTGGCAACACGCATGCGGTCATTCCGACCTCTGAGTTGGGGGGGGGGGGCGGGTGTATGCTACCACCCACGTAGAAAAATATGAGTGCACACATAGAAAGGAAGAGAAATACAAATTAGATCATAACTACTACTCGGGAACAGCATTTGTCTGTGGCTCTGAAGCTTTTTACAGAGCAATTAACGTAAACTCAAGTGTAGGCAATTTGCTAATGTGAAGAGTTGTGTGATTTATGTTCGATCTTTACTCTCATCATACTTACATCATACTACAAAATAATGTGATGCATATGAGAAACACATGTAATCCCAACATGTAATTTAGGTGCGTACTTAATTAAAATCTTCTTCTGTGTTTATGTCTCTAAACTTTAGCCGATTTAAGCTCAACGGATAATAACTACCCTTTTCTGTCATCCTCTCTCTCTCCCTCTTTTTTCACTGCCTCTCTCTCTCTCTCTGTCACCCAATCACCCAACCTCTTAAGTCAGTGTCGCTTAATCTAAATCTACTTCTGTTTACCACTCGACCATATGGCCTATGATAGCTCAACACATAATTAGTATTCCCCCCTCTCCCTTCTCCTTCTCCCCCCCCCCCTCTCTCTCTCTCTATCTATCTATCTCTCTTGTTCCCCTCCAAACCTCTCTATCTTTCTCTGTTCTACATATACCCTTTCCTGTCATCCTCTCTCTCTCCCTCTTTTTACACCGCCTCTCTCTGTCTTTGTCACCCAATCTCCCAACCTCTCGGTTATGCCATACAACTCTTTACCTCTAAGTTAAGACATAAATACACCGCAAAAGACAAATATTGAAGAAAACATGCACAAACCTTTTTTCTTCACTAGCCGAGCTTGTAGTAAATAATCACATAAAAAATCGTGTATTCAATTTGCCAGGATAGAATACCCCGAATATATATTTACATCGATACAAAACTAAACTCAGGTATTTCATTATAACAATGCTTGTCTGAAATTCT